TCTGGATCCGCCACTGCCAGCACTTACTAACACATTATTTGAAAAATTAAAGATATCACAAAATATGACATGGAATGTCGTGATTTCCCATCTAAAGAAGAAACGTGGTGTTTGCGGACATTGATTTTCCAGTCAAAGTCAAATAACGAATGCTACCTAATTTTTCGAGTCGCCGTGTTTTGATTGGTGGATATATAGCAAAGTATCCCAGAATAGATCTATAATAATCTAGAAATCTTCATGGGCGACAAAGGTTTCATCATATATCTTATAGGTGTAATTAGAATTTCACCGTGACTACGGCATGACCTCAAATACCATTGATTTGGTTGATAAAAACCGGGCGTGCTGGGCCGGGCGTGACACGGAAGATTATTACTAGTATTGTCCCAATGTGAGGGCGTAATTTCCATAGCGTAACGAGACTGGGCAATACAAGGTGTATGACAAATTTGCATAAATATACTTGTATATAGTTCATGCCGAATGGATATATATTGAGTTCCGAGATGTGAGTGATGTGCGCGTGAGTTCAGCCAGAACCTGATGAAATCCGTTTCCTTGTATTGGACATACTCCCAACTATCGAGAATCCCAGTAAAACTTTAGAGATCTAAATCCAATGTTAACAACTGCGTATTAGAACATCAGACGGAATGAAGACCTGTATAGGCAAGAAGGGACGGTATGTACAAGACGATGCTTTCACTGTGGCGGTCAATTAACAACTGGTTTATCTGATAACACTGTGGTTACGTAATTGTAATGTAGACATCATGTATATTCCCGACAACCTGATGTTCAACCATAGACCATGGATGTACGTCCATGCACAGACCCATGGAAGGTACCTTCCATGATAGACCTTACAGTAGACTCGAGTATTGCATACATTTTTAGTGGTCTGAGATAAATGTAAATTCTCACACAGACCGACAACAAATAAAACGTGTTTTTATGTGCCAAGTATAGCTAAGACTTTTTCAAAGAAACTTTGACACACGCGCCGGGCAGACAAAACTGAAACTAAATGTAATTCACGCAAAACTAGCTCGTACATCCTGTCTTTTCCTTTGATGTTTGCCGGCAGTTTCGTATCCCTCTACTCTCAGACCATAATTATTGGTGGTCTGAGCTCTACTGGAAGGTCTGCGGTTCAACCACAGTCCCCCACTGTGGTACAACCATGAAGGTAGAAAATAGTTCCACGGTTCATGGAGGTAATAAGAACGACCAACAATGATGTCAAGTTGTGCGCATGCGTATTAAAGTTGTAGACTACTAATATTTGTGACACACTCGTTGTGTTTTGCTGTTGAATACAAAGTTTTTTTTATTGATTTATTGACAGATTAAAATTTCACTGGCTCATACGGACGCACAGGCGAAAAAATAGAGAGCAGTCTTCTACAACCAGATCAAATTCTAGTAAAACACAGTGATGTCAAATGAAAAAAAATCATCAAAAGCTGACACAAAATTAATCATAGTGTAGCGTAGAAGGACATTTCCGGGGTTGCGATAATCTGTTTTTCCTGGTTTGAGCGTACACAGAAATTTCTTCCACATACCACCTATACCACGAAAAAGTCTCCCGGAAACACAAATTCGTCCGTTGCCCTAATTGGCCGGTGGTGGAAGGAATTCCTCTCTATCGCGAAACGCAGAGCAAGTTATTTTGACAGTTCTTTGGCACTAGGTATGACATTCATAAGTGTCTCTGACGCCTTAAAAAGCGGAAAAAAACGTGCGACATGTACGGTTCCAACACAGTTAGCTAAGCGAAAACCTGCTAGTAGGTGCAGCAACATCGCGTGGGTGTTTACCATTGACGTCATCCGTGTATAACCACGCGATCACGTGACCTTCACGCGGTGGCCAATATATCAATCTACAGGGCATTATTACCGGCGAATTCTAAGTAGCGTCATTCGGCACGTAGACACAATCGCGTACACTTGGCAAAGCGACACACGTCGATTTTTTTCACCAGTCCTTTCAGAATTGCCAAAAATTATGTTATCTGTTATTTCAAGAACTGCAATTAGGAATGGTGAGTACTGAGTTAATTATCAAGTTTAGCTTCAAATTGAATTCTAGACAGATTAATTGAAATTTCGTAGTTCTCGACTGGTTCCCGGCGTAAATAACGAAATTTTATAAATTTATATAGGCTCTATCGTATTTTTACTTATAAACAAGCTAATATAATCCATGAATACACCGTGTTATTTATTCATTTGAATTATGTTTTAAAAAGGTAGTCAGTTGTATGACTCCCGAATTCAATTTGTAGGAAAAAAATCAAACTGACAGAGTCACGACAATGGTATTCAGACCAATGATAAAAAGTACACCATTATACCACGTACCCGACCGAAACGATGGTGTACCGGAAAACGTATTTTTGGAGAGGTCGTGTATGTGAACCAGTGGAAATATCAGGGTAGACTTAGCCGAGGGAATACGTACTAAATTGTCAGCGTTAGTTTTTATAGCAATGCGGCCTCTGAGTTCATAAACGTTCGATGTACAGAGCAGATATTGCGCAATCCTTGACACAGTATATAAAGTCAAGGTAACAATCTTTTATAAACACTTTTATTCTCTGTTGTCGCGGTGATATTTTCTTTAGAACTGATCCATAAAAACAGTTACTACCGAGACGAACAAGACAAAAGGCTATTAACGTTGAAACAAAATTTCACCTTGACCTTGCTCAAGGTGACCTTCATCGTCACGCGGTCGGTCGGTTAACACAGTTAAGGTTTTAACTGTTGTTGTGTAATTACGAACCTATTTTCAAATATAATACACAAATAATATAATAATTCGATACCAGTCCCCCATTTTCACAACATTGAATACAATGTTCGAACAACGAGATTAGACAAAACATCTTCATATTTTTGTAGTGAATAACAGAAAGTCACGTCACGTTTTCGTTCTCTTTTCTCTGTTTCGGTTCCGGTCCGTCTTTGAGAATTCTTCATAGTGTAGCTCGCTGTAGTGGTTTAACGATTGAGTCACGATTTCATTTTATTTACTCAGGTCAACGACTTTTGGTTCAACAGCAGCCTCTAGTGGCAAGAAATGTAAATACTGATGCTGGCAAAGCAGGTGTCTGTCCATGGAAATGGATTATTGATAGTAGGCGTTGCTGGTGCACTAGTTTCATGGGGAATGGTGAGTAATTATCTTTTGAACATGCACTGTGCGTCTCAAAATCAACTTTAATTGTTTTTACATTGTCAACATCACACATCCGACGTAATTTAGTCGAGCTAAGTTGCCGACAGGGTCCGGGATGGTGTCAAAATTCAGGCATTGAACCCAAAATGTGGATATCCTCAAATCACGTGTCGATTACAACAGGCGTATTTTGAAATACACACCATAGTGTAAAATTGCAAGCGTATGGGAAAGTCACATTTCAATACAATATTTTTTTTAATGTTGTAGTAAACATTTAGGTAACTATGAATAGGGATAATTTGTATCACGATGTCTACTGTTTGTATGGCTCATAGAATAGTATGTTTAATGAAGATGTATATGAATATATTCAGTTCATAATGTCGTTTTCTTTCTTTCAGATTTTTGGAAATGGTATGATTAGACTATACAGAGAACCATCACGTTCGTTATATCGCAGCTGTTATGAAAAATACTGAGTGAACCACGCAAGCTGACGAAGATTATTATTTTTATTAGCTTAATTTGTATTTTATTTATTTTTTGCTCATCATTTGCCAACATACCTCAGAGTCGGCGGTGATGAAATGACAATTCACTTTTCCAGTTTGTCAATTATAAATAAATATTTTTAATTGTGATTTATAATCAAATAAAATATGATAATTCACTGATTTTTACTTGATTTTGTAGTATTTTTCGATCAGAATCTAAGCTATCTACTCCATCCATGGGTGGATTTAGAGGGGGCCGCGGACTTCCTATTTTAACAACCAATAAGGCTTCGCGCCATCGGCGCTCTCGAACTTGGCTTTCGGCCAACTTATTGCCCCCCCCCCTCCCCTATTCCAGAATCCTAGATCCCCCCTGCCATCAAATGTAACTGACATAGCGCCATGCCATTTCTCCACCAATATGCAATGATGGTGCGTGAGTTAAGACCATGGTACAAGGGACAACCTTTGTTGCCAACAAATGTTGCAGCGTGTTGGCAACAAGAGTTGACCCGTGGCATTTACTCTCACAATACAATGTACTTCTCACCTGCTGGTTGCGCCCTCTAGCGACGAAGACTCTCTGTAACGTTCAATCCCATAGATTGCACCAAAGAATCATGGGACACTGTTGTATATGTTGTTTACAATGTTAATCTATCTTTTGTTATCCATTGTTATTTTAATCCAGAAAGTAAATTTGTTGTGAGATTAGGCGTAACTGGAAGGTGCCCCTTTCAAAGAGTGAAGGCCGTGTTGCCGTTTAGAACACAGTAAATTTTTGAAAAAAACAGTATTTTGTTATCAATGTTGGGCGATAACAGATCATAACATGAGCGAGCGGTGTGAACGGCGTTCCTCAAATCCATTTACCAAGAAGCGCCCGTCTCTAGAGGACGCGGCCTGTGTGGGAACGGTACACTGTATTACTGCGTCCATGGAAGTACTAATGGAGTACCTCCATGCTGCGTCCTTAGTCCATTCTCAGACTAGTAATACAAGTCTGAGGTCCATTGTGCTTCGCGCACAGAATCGAG